CACTCGCAACAGAAACCCCAACCCCCCCCCCCCAGCACAACACGGACCACCCCACCCCCTAATTGTCCCGCCGGCACGGACACGTCCAACCCACCCGGTTCCATCTAATTAGCCCGATCATCAACGCGAGGGTTTCGGAGCGTTGAAAGGAGGTATAGACGGAAAAAAACAAACAAACTATCGAGTATATCCATAAAGACCGATAATCTCCTCTCTTGATCAAGATTGGCGGCATCGCACTACAAATTCCAAACGACACTCGCGATAAAACTGAATCCTCTGCAGCACAGCACAGCGTAGCGCACAACAAGATCCACAGTGCACACCGTTTCGTTTCGTTTCACAACACACACTCACTCACACACAACATCGACAAACCAAAAATCCAGTCCAAAATCCAAAACAAGCGCCGGACGCCTCAAAAAGCAACTACATACATACATACATACGCAGCCCAACACGGCATCCCCATCCTCCTCAAGGAATGATCTGACTCTGACCACATCATCATTCGAAGCTGATAAGTAATCAAAAATCAAAAATCAAAATCACTCAGATGGGGGGAGGGGGAACAGGGGGGTGAGAAAGAGAATGATGCATCCATCAATCCATGGCGGTGTATCAGATCTCAGCCACCCCCCACCCGCACGCGCGCTCTTTCTCCTCACGGGGCTGTGTCGTGTCGAGACGCGAAGCTCGAAGCTTGAAGCTCGAGTGTGCATTGCATGCGGTGCATGCATTGCGATCGTGTTACATGTATGTCTGGAAGTTGGGTATGCAGTGACGCAGGTGGGACTCGGAGCAAGACACCCGGAGGCGTACGCACGGAGGGAAGATTGCCGAGGTGGCCGAGGTGCGTAAGGTAGCGGTAAACGAACATGTTGGACTGTACCAGCTCTCAAAGACGCAAGGTACTGACCAGATGATGTTCTCTTTGTCGCCGCATCTCAACGTAATCATAATCATACTCACAACGACCCACGCACTGGTATGCACACATAATTCTCCAGCTCAAGCTTCCCGTTTCTGTTCTGCTATCAGCCCCACACCCAGCCCAACGTGGGTTGGCATTGGCAGATGCGATCCGCGTCTAATCTCAATCTGCCAACATACGAACGAAACGTGAGTGCTTGAGTCATCGCCATCTGTTGGGAGATGGATGTGTCACGTCAGAAGCGCGTGCGAAGCGATTATCGCATCCGCCGTGGCTTTTCACTCTCATGCCTCAGGTGCGGGTCCGTACATGAAGACTGGCACGCGCGAATACAACTATGTACATGCTGTTTTCTCGTGAGGACGCAATGTAACGCGAAAATACCTCCTCCAATCCAAACCCAAGCGTGTCAAAATGAGAAATATCTCCTCAGAAGTGTTCATTCAGTTCGTCAATAGTATCGAGAATAGTATCGAGTCGCGGAGGTTCTGAATCGCCGGACTTGGGCCGGGCAGCAAGAGGACGAGGACGAGCACGCGGGGTGGGACCCGTGTCGGCAACATTCAGAGCCACATTCACAGCCACACACACGCACGCATAAAACAAAACAGAAAGAAAAAGAGACGCCGGTGTTGACTTGGATTTCCGGCCCAACTTTGAATCACCGAGTGGCAGGAGGACGTCGTGAGACTCACAAGGGAGGGTAAACGTGTATCGCCGGCGAACACATTATATGCAGCCACACATTGACGAAACAAAGAAAAAAAAGGAAACGTCGGGTTTGATATAGATTTTCCAGCCGACGTTGATTAATAATTGCTGGCCATGGGTCAGTTGCAGTTGTTTGCGTGAACTCGGGCTGTTTGCGATGAGAAAGCGGCGCCAAAGTCAAGCGTGTCGAAAGGAGAAAATTCTATCCGTGTCTTGTTCATCAGTCGGGATATGTGAACCTCAGAATGGAGGTTTTGAATCACCGGAGAGAAGGAGGACGTGCAGCTAGCCCATGGGCACAGAAAAAAGAAAGTTGGCCTTGACTTGCGTTTCTGACCAACTTGGCATGGCATGCCTGTTGAGTTGATTGTATTGTTTGTGAGGAGAAAGAAACGCATGGTTCTGCAAGGACATAGAAGAATCAAGCGCGTCGAAAGGAGAAGATGCTTCTGTGTTTGGTTGGTCTGGAGACGAGAACTCGAGATTGGAGGTTTCAAATCATCGGATGGAAGGGGGATGTGGAGCTCGTGCACATGTAAGTATGCATCGCCAGCAAACATATGCAGCCACACACACGAAAAAAGAAACATCGGCTTTGACTTGATATTCCAACCAACTTAGATTGCCAGTCGGTTGTTTGCTGTTCGTGAGGAGAAAGGAACCCCTGGCTCTGCAAGGAGATAGAATAGTCATGCGCGTTGGAAGGAGAAAATACTCTTGTTCTTGATTGGCATGTACTACCTGTCGAAACACCAGTGCTACAATGGAGGTCCCAAATCGCCGAATGAAAGGAGGACGTGGAGCTCGTGCACATGCAACTGTGCATCGCCAGCAAAAATATGCAGCCACACACAGAAAGAAATTTGACTTGGATTTCCAGGTCAATTTAGAATGCCGGGTTGATCGTTCACTGTTCGCGAGGAGGAAGGAACGCTCAGCTCTGCAAGGATAGTCAAGCGCGTTGGAAAGAGAAAATGCTTCCGTGTTTGATTGGTAAGTACCACCCACCGTCGAGACGCCAATGTCAGAATAGAAGTTCCGAATCGCCGGATGGAAGGAGGACGTGGGGCTCGTGTGCGTATTGCCGGCGACCATATACAGCCCACAAAAAAAGAAACGTCGGGTTTGACTTGGATTTTCCAGGCCAAATTAGAATGCCGGATTGATCGCGAGGAGAAAGGAATGCTCAACTCTGCAAGGATAGTCAAACGCGTTGGAAAGAGAAAATGCTTCCGTGTTTGGTTGGTATGTACTACCATCGAAACGCCAATGCCAGAATGCAAGTCCCGAATCGCCGGATGGAAGGAGGACGTGGGGCTCGTGTGTGGTTCGGCGACCATATGCAGCCCACAAAAAAAGAAACGTCGGGCTTGACTTGGATCTTCCAGGCCAATTTAGAATGCCAGGTTGATCGCGAGGAGAAAGGAACACTCAGCTATGCAAGGATAGTCAAGCGCGTTAGAAAGAGAAAATGCTTCCGTGTTTGGTTGATATGTACTACCGTCGAGACGCCAATGCTAGAATGGAGGTTCTGAATCGCCGGATGAAGGAGGACGTGGGACTCGTGCACATGTCAGTGTGTAATGTGCATAGCCGGCAACCAGCCACATGTACAGATTCAGCTCCATCTGCCAGACGAAGAAAAGGAACGTTGGCTCTGATTTGGTTCGCGCTAATCTGAATATCGGGTCAATCGTTCGCTTTTTGCGAGGAAGAAGGGGCGCCCGGCTTTTCTCCACGATGCTCTTTTTGATAAGCCAAGAAAATTTCCATCAAAAGAGTTCTTCCGGGGACTTCAGTGACCGTGTTATCAATCCTGTGAGAGGTGACTAAGTCCTGGAACAAGATCAAGTTCTTGAACAAAAACGTCGGGAACTCAATGGAATCCCGTCGAGGTTCAAGATCCTCACGTGTCACTCTTTTCCAAACTCGTGTGCTTCCGATTTCGAGCTTTTCAACTTGAAGCCATGTTTCCTCAGTAGGTAATGGAACACCAATTGCTTTCTTTTACCCGGCTCCGTGGTGCTCTCCAACTCGAAGGCCATGAAGCACGCAGTTTTCGTAACCGAGAGTTCACTTTTCATCAGATGCTCCACTCTAGTGATATTCTCTTTGAGCTACTAGATGATGGAGTCCGTGACTTGGTGCTTGAAATACTTAAGATGACTAGCATGGCTTACGTGCCCTCAGAGATACCCAAATCTAGAGAAGGAATGGCTGATCAGTTTTCCCAGTTCGGGTCTTGAGTTCCGCCTACTTTGCCTCGAGTTCGATGTGCCAATAAGTAGTACCAGACCTCGCCCCCATCCCGCAGCCCTGTCCTGTCATTCTTTGCAACATAAACGAACCTCTCTGATATGCACGCCACACTCTCTTTCATCCAACGCTTGTTTCGCATCTCTACCAAGCGTGGAAAGAACTCACTTGCCCCATCGACTACTTCGCCTCTGGTGTCACTGAGCAGTGAATCAATGCTTTCACTCATCCCCAGCCAGGACTCTAATTCAAATTCACGATACTCACTCACAACTCCAACTGAGTCCTCCCGCCACATTCTTACTGATATTAGTGTCGGCCAGTCAGCCACATACATTGTCCGCATTCCTATAGTTCCTGGAGTTAGTGTTGGCCAATAAGGTCTCGATCAATTCCAATCCTCACATCTTCTATTTTTGTCAGTTTTGGTTCTAGTCGATGAACAGCCTCTTTCTTAAAGCTCTTCTGTCGTGGTGTTTCGGTGAGATCTTTCTCATTTTCTTACATCAAGCACTGCTCAGTCTTACAGCTCGTGGCTTTCTTGCATTTTCCCATGACTGCCAAGATGGGCTGTGGACACGCCCCTGGGAATGCTGTTTTAATATCAGTTTTGTCTGATGGATTCAGCGGCGGAACACCCCTTGATGTCACCCTTCTGTCGAGGGATTGATGCCCGCTGTTACTTGTTCTTGACCTTTCTTGCTGTCTTACATTCATAACATTACTTCTCCAACGTTTCGATGTCGGCAGTCGCTTCAGGAAGCACAGCATCCGAGAAGGCGATTGTTTCTCAGTCTCATCATACTCCTGTGTCAAAGGTGGTGGTTCTGCTCACCCTAGAAGCATCATGTGCCGTCGTGGACGCCGAGCATACATATGTGTAAAGAATCTAATTTGATGAAACTAATGTCAGTGGCAAATCGGATTGGCAGGAGCGCCGGGAACGATGAGCTTCTTGATCCATTGTAGAAGTGACCTTGCCTTCTGTACCGGTAGTTTAGGTCGATGAGCACGATATTACATATCTATTCCGTCCGATCATGTTCTGCGCCACAAGTCACCATGCGCTGATAGCCATCTGTGTATGTACTGGGGATAAGCCGCTGTAGCATAATGGTAGTGCGTTGCTTTCCTATACGGTCTGCAGGCAAAGGTTGCGGGTTCGATCCCCGTCAGTGGTTCTAAAGATTCGACTTTTGAATCCTTTTGAAATTTTGGAGCACGCGCACGTGTGGGTTTAATCCTTTCGCGCGTCAATTTCCATGTGCATTCTCACATTGACATGACCATCCTTCCGGCGCCTCCAGGACGTGTAGACGACACGACAACTTCGAGACATGATGAGCACCAGTACCTACAACTCATCCAACGCGTCCTTGACGTGGGCGACGTACGGCCAGACCGTACGGGAACAGGGACCATCTCGATCTTCGCCCCACCATCGCTCCGCTTCTCCCTCGCCAACTCAACACTTCCGTTACTTACCACGAAACGTACGTTCCATCGCGGCATTATTGAAGAACTCCTATGGTTCATCCACGGTTCCACGGACTCGACACTTCTTTCAAAAAAGGGCGTCAAGATTTGGGATGGGAACGGTTCGCGCGCGTTCCTGGACAGCAGAGGGCTGCAGCATCGTCGAGAGGGTGATTTGGGACCCGTTTATGGGTTTCAGTGGCGTCATTTTGGTGCTGAATACGTGAATTGCGAGAAGGACTACACGGGCGAAGGTGTCGATCAACTCAGGGAATGTATTAAGAAAATTAAGGAAAACCCAACGGATCGAAGGATCATCCTTAGTGCTTGGAATCCAAAAGGTACATTTTCAATGTTATAGACTCGTGGATAGTTCGATAAGCTCTCCAGATATACCACAGATGGCCCTCCCGCCATGCCATATGATCTGCCAGTTCTATGTCCACCTTCCGCCAGTTGCTACACCAGAGGCCAAACCAAAGCTATCATGTCTTATGTATCAGCGCTCCGCCGACCTGGGCCTTGGAATTCCATTCAACATAGCTTCGTATGCGCTGCTGACGCATATGATTGCACATGTTACTGGTACCGACGCGCACGAGCTCATCATCCAACTAGGCGATGCGCACGTGTATCGAGACCACATCGAAGCGCTGGAGGAGCAGCTCAAGAGGGAACCTAGGCCGTTCCCCAAGCTGCGATGGGCAAGGGAGGGGATAGAGGACATCGAGGAGTTTACATACAGCGATTTCACAATCGAGGGCTATGAGCCTCATCCTGCGATAGCGATGAAGATGAGTGTTTGATGGATGGACTTGGACTGGTTGATTTCTTAGTTGCTTTCTTTCATGTATCTCATTTTCACACTACTTATTTCTCACAACTTCAAAAACGAAATGCAATGGGCAACAAAACATAAGTACTAGAATGTAAACATATTGCTTACCAGAAGAACGAGCGGGACTTAGATAGGAGGTCGGGCAGAGAGGCCGATGGGGAGCGAATTAGGGGCGGGATCAAGGATGATCGGGGATCGAAGAACCTTAAAACCACAGACGGAACTATATAAGTAGGGGTAGCTGCATGCAAAAGGTAGCTTACTTTCGGATTCAGATCCATAGCTTGTTCCATTCTGGTCGTGCTTGTACTAAGTGAAGTGGGACTACGTCCTCTTACAGACCGCACTCAGAATCTTTCAGTTGAAAGTGACATCACGTGCAGATACTTCGACCATCTTCCGAACCATCGTCATGGTTCTCCACGCAATGGACAACCTCACAGAGCTTTTTGCGAAAACACCCCCAGGATACCAGTGGCCTGCGAAATTTTGCGCGACCGTTACAGTCGTCGTGTGGATCGCGTCTCTCATCACCTCGAATGTTTCCCAAGTCGATCGTCTGTGGACATTTCTACCGTTCATCTACGCCGGTTATTATGCTCTTTTGCCCTTGTGGCCTCAAGAGCCTTCATTCTTCCTGTGTCCGTACACACCCAAAAATCTTGGCTGGACAATAGCAAGAGACTTCAGTCCAAGAGCAGTCCTTATGCTTGGTCTCGTCTTTCTGTGGATGATCAGGTACTTAACAATCTCGAACTGGCACTCTTGTGTAATAATCACCTTGGCTATATAGGTTATCGTACAACACACACAGACGCGGTCTCTTTAGGCTGTAGGCCTTGCTTTTGTTTATCGTCTCGCATGGTCTAATTATCTTTCAGGCATGACGAGGATTATCGCTGGGCCATCCTCCGCGACAAAGTTCCGGCCTGGTTTTTCCAGGTCATTAACCTCACGTTCATTGCTGCGACTCAGAACGTTCTTCTGCTCCTCCTAAGCTTTCCGATTAAAACCGCGTCTACCTTTCAGCCGCATACCCCTCTTGCCACTTCGGATTACGTTCTCGCTGTGCTTGCGCTGGTAGATTTGGCGTTTGAATTTACCGCGGACAATCAACAATGGGCATTTCATCAATACAAGCATGCACATCTCGCTGCCGAGAAAGGGACGTCTGAAGTCGAACCATATGACAAGAGGAAACAATGGTTTGGCGCTCGTTTAGACTTCACCCCGTCAGATGCCAAACGTGGTTTTGTAACCCGCGGTCTCTGGGCATATTCACGTCACCCTAATTTCCTATGCGAGCAATCATTCTGGGTATGTTCATTTCTTCCATAATCGAAACTCTTTCTGAGAACATAACCGGTTTCAGTGGATAATCACTCTCTTCCCGCTTCTCTCTTCCTCAAAGCCTGATCTCATTTCAACTTCCTTCCCGTGGCATCTCATACCCACCTTTTCCGATATCTTGCAAAACTTCCCTGATACTTTTTATCCCCTCCTATCCCACCTTTGTAGACCCCTTTCTGATCTCGCACCCGCCTTCGCACTTTCCTTACTCTTCTTCTCATCCACCCTCTTTACAGAGTCCATCAGCGTGGGTAAATATCCGAAGGAATACAAGGCGTATCAGGAACGAGTGGGTATGTTCAGCCCACTGCGAACGTGGGAAAAGGGACTTGTCCTTGGGTGGCGTGGACGGAAGAAAGAGGCCGACGACATCATCTGGGGCGAGGGAAATAAGGAAAAGTCGGAGTAGATGAAGGAGTAGTGTTGGATTCCAGTTTGTGAGATTCAGGACGGTTTTGGTTTGTATATTCGTTAGACCTGTACTTCAAGCGAGTGTTTACTTTCTTCTCTGTATATCAGATGATCTCGTCTAATCCGAAAATTGTGAGAAGTATTACTATTCTTTTCAACGACACATCTGAAAAGGAAACAGGAACCCTTTATAATATCGACACCCGTCTCTCAGCCGTGTGGTACTTGATGCCTAGGGTAATTCATCATCGACATCGATCAATTTCAAAGTTCTTCGCATTGAAAGTGGCATCCCTAATGGTGAAATGGGTCCAGTGACTTCAATATTCCTTTTTCGCTGATAAGGATTTTCAACGCGTCCGCCAGCTTTGAATTACATGTCCAGGACCTGGGTTTCCTAGACTGTGTGGTGTAGATTTAGCACTCTTGCTCGAAAACTCGACATACTGATTCGAATCGACAGATTCAGTCAATCTATCCAGTAGTCTCATCTTTCTCTCCCTGGACTGAACTGTGACTACAGACCCTAGTATCATCATATGCTATTTCCTG